CACACACATTTTAAAGTTTTATACACCTAACATGTAATAATTAAAAATGACAATCGGTGGTACCACACCTGCCTCCCAGTGGCAAAATCCTGAGTTAGATCCCCAGTACCAAAATTAAAAACCCCAATTGGGGCACAGGGATTTAGCTCAGTAGTTCTGCTGTCTGCCTTGCAACTGCAAGGTTCCGAGCTTGATCCCTGGTACCCCCCCAAAAAAATATTAAAACCCTATTGGAAGTGATATACACAGAAGAAACAGTGCCTTTTAAAAATATATAAGAAGTTCAGAGGATTCTCCATAAGGAAAAGATGTCCCGTGTCCACACAGACCTGGGGAGAAGCACTGTCCTTTCCCCAGATAGCATTTCTTATCTTCTCATTAATAAAATAGACTCATGAATATTGCAAACTATGCACCCATTTTTACTTTGGACACATTATTATAAAGTATATAAATATTGTGTAATTAATTCTTGGCTCTGTTGTGTATACATTTTCCATTGTGTAATTTAGTTATGTTCTGTCCACGTTAAATATGAGTTTTGCAGTGGTCTCAATCTTTTCTAAGCTAACACAATGAGTAGATGAGAAGCAGTGATTCCTTTAAATATGAGTTTTGCAGTGGTCTCAATCTTTTCTAAGCTAACACAATGAGTAGATGAGAAGCAATGATTCCTCAGATTCTGTCGCGAGCACCGATTTGCGTTTCGGGATCACGGGTCAGCGCATCAATGATTGCCAATTCGGTTTCGTTTTGATCAATGCTTTTACTCTCATTAACAATACAAATACAAGCCCACACAAAGGATACAACTACAATTGCCAGCGCAATCCAGAAATAATGCCAGCCCATAATATCTCTAACACAATCATAAATGCTATCATGCTATAGGTGAGGGCATACGACCTGGTAGATGTAGTCTGGTCTCAGGCTTCGCAGGGTCGAGCTGCGACTTCGATGTTTCGGCAGTCAGGATCAGGTACAGCGTGTCAGCATCTCGGACAGAGCAGGGATGCAGATCCTCTGTTCCAGGTCTGGAAGCTCCTGCGTCTCGGGCAGAGCTTCAGCAGGTCATCTTGACGGAGTCGTCAAGCGACGTCATCTGTCTGTAGTCTTCTCCTTTTATACTTTAAGTCATTTCTAATCTAATACATCCATATGCTCTATCTAAGTTAACTCCTCAACACTCGCATTACCTTACTTCAAACTCTTAATCTTATGTCACAGCAGTCATGTGTCACGGCACACGGTCGGGGGGGGAATTCCCCACATGTCACAGCAAACTCTTATCTGTCTTAACACTCAGCATCCAGGCTGTCAGCTTCCAAGCTGTCAGCTATCAAGTCTCACTTAATTTCACTCTAGTTTTACTTTGCTTAATTCTGCTTTTTGTGGGTCACAAAATCCTATGTTTTACATGTTCACTACAGATTCTTACTGAATAAATTTAAAAATTACCAAATAAGAAATTCCACCATCACTTATATTTTCCTATTTTTTTACAAAAGCCAAGATTTTAATATCAAATTCTACTGAAATAAATCAACATTGGGTTCTGAATTTTTCTCTTTATTGCACTAACGTGTTTGTGATGCAATTATTAATGTAAAATGGTAGTTTCTAACTTTTCTTTTCTCTCTTTGCTTTTTAAACATACTTTTCTGCCAGGTGTCCTACAAAATTGCAATTGAAGGGACAACATATATTGTGAACCTGACACAAAAGTAAGTAATCTTCATTATTCTATGAACTGTCTTGGTTCTATTTATTATCGATTGTACTCATCCAGAAAGTAATTATTTCACATCTAAAATATTTCTGGCTCGTTTGCTCTTATTTTGTGCTTTAAAGAAAGCTTCTGTAACAAGAGATTTATTCTGGGGTATCAATGAGGCTTTAAATTTTGATAATTTTCTATCTTTCTAAAAACATAAACATGGCTTATTTGCAGGTTCCCTTATATTCAGCTTACATTTGAAGCTAATGAATTTTTAAGGAAAATGGACACTATGTTAAACAAAACAGAAAAATCAAACTTGAAAGAGTCTTGCATCATTTCTAGAATGCATAGCTGTGATTCTCTTATACATCATAAATTTTGAAAAATGTGTTCTTATATATGAGAAAAATGGTGCTGGCTTGAAGGATGACACTAAAAATCCACTCAAAATTACTTCTTTTGGAAAAAAAAGTTTGTGCATTTTTTGCAAGAAATACATAGGGAAATTGCAAAGAATATCTTGCAGCTGCTACTTTCAAATGCCAAGTGAAGGGGCCAGAGTCAGGCTCTGAGACCAGGTCTGAAACAGACTGTATCTGTCAGCATCGCAGTACAATACTTATTTATGCTCCTTTACTATAGGCTGAAATATGTAAAGTGTAATGGATTAGAAATGGAAGATCTGAATTAAAATGCAGCCACAATACAGTTCTTGTCTTTTCATATTAGAAAAAGGTACAAAGGGCTGGGGATGTAGCTCAGTGGCACAATGCCCGAGTTCAGTCCCTGGAACAGCAACAACAACAAAAGTTACAGAATATACAATATGATTAATAGTATATAACTGATTAATATGTAATAGACCACATATTATGCAAGTTATAAACCATACATTTATTTTCTTGCATACAGGCATTTGAAATGCAATGATATAAAAATAGTGACATACCAGACCAAACAAATCTTTCAAGTAGTACACAGTAGCACAATAAAATGAGAACATAATTACAGCTGCTTAAACAAGCGCTAACCAGCTCCATTGAGAAAATCAGTAATAGTTGACAAATACAAAAAAGATGAAAGCAATGAGGCCAAGTATTAATAAAATAATAACAAACAGAAGGTTACAAGTCAAATGTCTTTTATGTGAATGACCGAATAAATCTGTGATCAATGCACAGCAACGTTTGCTGTTTCTCCATTTTGTATGCAAAAGATATGAATAAAATATGCTGTACAAAGGCAAGGGCTGGGTAAAATAAAGTGCTGTGACACAGCCCTGCTGGGGCAGAGCAAGGAAACTTCAGTGACCTTTGTTATTAGTCTGACACAAGCCCCGCCAGAGGCAAATGTTACCAGCCATTTAGGCTCAGAAGCCCAGCACTGCCTGCTTCCCTTTACCGGAACAAAGGAGGCCCTATATTTGGGTACAAAGGAAAAAGGATTTATTTAAAGCCGAAAGGAGACTGAGCTCCGCCTTTGTTTTATCGCTCTCAGTCATCTTTGGATCTTTCCTCTGTCTTTGTAGGAGGGAGCCTGGGCACCGACCTCCTGAGGCTCACATCTGCATATCCTGTCTCTTCTCTGAGGCTGAGGGAAAGGAGGTGTTGTTTATGTGCTAGGGGTGCAGTTTAGAGAAATTGTTTATCTCCATTTAAAAAATATCTAGCTTTTTAAGTTCTATTTCACAGTGCTGTTACACAAAGACTAGGAATTCTGGGGCCATCCTCCTCTTACATTCTAGAATCTTTTATGTCGTCCCTCTTTGCTTCTTTTCTGACAAATCTCACCATAGCTATGTCAGTTTAATGACTTTTCTGTTAATTAATTTTTATTTTGTTGAGCAGCTATGTGAGTGCAAGGACCTGAGTTCTATCCCTGTACCAAAAAAAAGATGACTCATCAACCATTTTTATTTGTGCTCTTAAGAATTTAAGATTAATTTCCCCCTGTAAATATTGCTTAGCCTCACCTCACATTTTTGGATGTGCTGTATTTTCTTTGATTTATCATTAGAAAATTTTCTCTAACTTACATTGTACCATGCTTCTTCTTTGGTTCAGGAATTATTCTGTTGCACCTGTCAGTATCAATACATCTGGCATTTTTTCTACTTCTTCCCCAAAATTTATTTTTTTCATTTTTTTTGGTACCAGGGATCAAAGTCAGGTCCTTGCACTTGAGAGTCAGGCGGTGGAACCACTGAGCCAAATCCCCGGCCCTTTCCAATAATTTCTGATAACGGAAAAGAAAAAGATATGAGAAAACAGAAAAATGGAAATAAAGTTTTGTAAATAGGGAAGGGAGGAGGGGGTGAAGGGAGGGCAGGGAAGGGGGTAAAAATGAGAACCAAGACCTGTCATGTAAAGGCAGAAGATCCCAGTGATGAGTGTAATTGTGCTGTATACCTAAAAAATACCGATAAATTAAATGAGAAAAAAAAAACATTTTTGATCACAGAGCATTTTCAGTCCACTAAAAGTCAGTGGCTCTTGCTTTATGAGGTAATGCACAGGCCAGGGATCAGGTCCTTGAGCTTGCAAGGCAGGTGGCAGCACCACTGAGCTAAATCCCAGGCCCTGGCCCACAATAATTTTTAAGTTGACTTGTATTCTTCCATTCTTTAATTTTGAATTATGCGTTGATTGCGTAAGTATTAAAGATTAAACTCATTTATTTTCCTGGTGAATAAATTTCAACATTATAAAGTAACTACTTTCTAGTAAATTGCCTTACATTTTGTGATACATATATCGTTAGAACATCTTGCTACACCCTATAGTTTCCTTTTTTCTATTTTCTTTTCTTTTTGGTTGCTGGGGACAGAAAACCCAGGCTTTACTCATGCTAAGCAGACACATTACCTCTGAACCATACCTCTACCTGTCTAATCAATTTTTTAAGCCTGGATTTTAGGGCACTTGAAATTATTTTTACTTTGTAATAATTAATTTTTTCATATTTTAAAAGAAATAATTATCTACATTTGGCCTTGCATATAAGCTACTATATTCTTTCTAATGGCTTCTGCTATTTTCAGTTTCATATTTTGATCTAGAATTGTTGCTTATATATATATTCTTAGAGCATAAAAATCAAGATTGAGTTACCTTTTCATATTAGCAACCTGAGACCCAACACACGATATTAAAAAGACCACCTTTCCCCATTACACTGTAATGTAAATGAATACATGAGACATTCTCCGCCTGGACTCTTTTTTTTTCCATTTGTCTATGTAGTTGTTCTTTTTTTTTTCCTTTGGTACTGGGGACTGAACTCAGGACTTACGCTTGTGAGGCAGGGCAGAACCATGGAGCTCAATCCGCAGCCCCTGTGTAGTTATTATGAATCCTAGTCTATTTATCTACACAGACACTACACAGTCTTAATTACCGTGGCATTTTCAGTATCAATATTATGGTTTTCCATGTCAATATTAACAGTTTTATTACTATAGTTTTCTGTTTTTTGGTTTGGTACTGGGGCTCGAACTCGGGACCTTGTCCTTGTGAGGCAGGTGGTGGAACCACTGAACTAAAACCCCAGCCCTTATTACTGTAGTTTTCAATTTCAGTATTAGTGGCTTTATCCTTCAAATAAAAATCTCTACTTCTCTTGTGCTTTTGAATTTCCATGTAAATTTTGTAATCTTGTTTTCTGTTTTCCCTTTTGTTTATATTCCTTTTTTTCTTTTATTGCCTCTGTTTGAATGAATCTCTTACTTTATACCATTATCTGCCGTTTAATTTTTTCTTATACATCCTTTTACTATTCTTTTAGTACTTTATATTAACATATTAATTTTTAAGTTGTTGAATATAATGCAAGTTAGTACAGTACTTTTACTAATTACTATAAACTGTGATCCTTAGACTTTCCACCTTCACTTACCCATTTCTGGCTTTTCATCATCTCTTCATACACTGTAATCCTCTACGCTTCTAAATCCCAATGACACATTACTATTATTTTGCACAGTCACTATTTTTTTAAATTTAACTATAAATTTACCAATTTCAGTATTCTATATTTCTCCCTATGTTTTTATATTTCTAACTGTAGTTAACTTTGATATGTCTTAAACATTGGCTCTATTTTTCTATTTCAAGATTGCTTATTTTTAATATTGTTTTTTATTTCTGTTTTGCCTTTATTTGTGATTAACCCTGTTCTTTTTTATTTTTTAAGCTTTTTTCTTTTATTGAGTTTATTGGTACATCTGCAGTATACAGTACAGTTACATTCATTATTGAGATCTTGTACCTTTACATGACAGGTCGTCTTGGTTCTCATTTTTTCCTCTTGTTCCTCTGGGCTTTTAAAGATACATTTGGAAAATAAAAATTGCATATATTTATAGATTACAACATACTCTTATGCACTTCAAAACAAATCAAGCTAATGAATATGCATGTATATCATCTCACATACTTATTTTGGTAAAGACAGTGTTTAGGATCTGACCCCTTAGCAGTTTTCAAATCTGGAGTACATCATTATTAACTATAGCGACAGTGCTGTGTAATGGATATTCAAAACTTGTTCATCCTAACTGGAACTGCACTTTGAAACCATCATCTCCTCTTTCTCCACCCCCCTGTCCTCAGGCCTAGTAACTACCATTCTACTCTCTGCTTCTACGAATTTGGGGCTTTTTAGATTCAACTCACAAGTAAGGCCACACACTATTTCTCTGTGTCTTGCAGGTTTCCCTTAACATAATGCCTTCCATATTTAGCTGTGTTCTCCCAAGTAATAAGGTTTCCTTCTTTGTTAAGGCTTAATAACATTCCAGTGTGTGTGTGTGTGTGTGTGTGTGTGTGTGTGTGTGTGCATGCACGTGTGTGTGTTTCTCTCACATTCTTTAATTCATTCAATGATTGATAGAAATTTAGTTTGGGGCCAGGGATTTAGTTCAGTGGTTCCGCTGCCTGCCTCACAAGCACAAGGTCTTGAGTTTGATCCCCAGTACCAAAAAAAAAAGGAAGAAAGAAACTTAGTTTGACTTTATATCTTGAATGTTACTGCAATAAACTTGGAATGCAAATGTCCCTTCACCATATTGATTTCTTCGTGTATGTATATATATACACACACATATATGGAATAAGTGATACTTCTGTTTTTAATTTTTCAGGCACTACTACTTTTTCCATAATGTCTGCATTCATTTACATTCCCAGCAAAAATGTACAAGGATCTTTTTTTTCTCCCCATCCCATCCAACACTGGATATCCTTGTTTTGGACACTCTCTATTCTAAGAGGCATAACGATGATACTTATTATGGCTTAAATTTGCATTTTCCTGAGGGGTAGTGATACTGAGCATTTAAAAGCTTATCTGTTGGCTTTTTGTATAGACTTTTTTGAGAAATATCTATTCATATCCTCTGCCTATTAGTAAAATTAATTTTTCTTACTGCCCGGTGACTTCTATATTCTAAATACTAAACATTAACCCTTTATCAAATGTATTGAAATGAAAAATTAGAGGCAAAGCAGAAATCAGTGCGCCTAAAAGAACTGCTGAAACAACTCTTGCCTATATTCCCTAAGTCTTAAAGATAAACTGTAAAAGCAACATTTACCTTTACCTCCTGCCTCTGTGCTAAGTCCTGCCTGCTTCCTTGCCCTGCCTAAAAAGCGTATAAAAATGAAAACAAATCTACAATTGGGGTTCAGATCTTGGAAGGTGACTTCCCCTGGGCCCCCTAGCAAATAAACCTACCTTTCCTTACAGTTATGGATTGTGCTCTTTTCCTTGGTCTGCCTTCCCTCCCAGTACCCTAAAACTGTGATTTGCTAATACTTTTTTCCCTTCTGTAGGTTCAACTATTCAGTCCGTTTTTTTTTTTTTTTAATTTGACTTTATTTGTTTTTTGGTGCCAGGGAATCAAACTCGGGCCCTTGCGCTTTTGAGACAGGTGACAGAGAGCCAAATCCCTGGCCCTTCACTCCGGTTCTTTGCTGTGCAGAAGCTTTTAAATCTGATGCAATTCCACTTGTCTAGTTTTGCTTTCATTACTTGTGCTTTGTTATAGCCATAACCAAAACTCACTGCCCAGACTAGTGTCAGGAAGTGCTCCAGAATGTTTTCTTCTAGTACTTTTATAGTTTCAGTTCTTACATGTACGTCTTTACTCCCTTATAGATGATTTTTGCACGGATGTGAGACAGAGGTCCGGTTTCATTTTTGTGCATGTGTACATCCAATTTTCCAAACATAGGTTCTGGAAGTTCTTTGTCCATTGCTGTTCTTGGCAACTTTGTTAAATATCAATTGACTATAAATGCTCAGATCTATTTCTCAGATCCTACTTCTGCTGTGTGGGGCTGGGTACCTTTTTGTACACCAGCACCATGCTGCTTTGATTATGGAAGCCTGGAAATCAAGTCGTCTGATCCTCCACTGTGTGCTGTGTGCAAAGGAGTCCTTGCCCATTTGGGGAAATTTAAGAAGGAGGTGAAAGTTCTACCCTGAAAAATCTTTTCTCTGCCTACCTATGCATCCATAATGAATCTAATAAGCATCTTTTCCAACATGAATGCTTAGGAAGCAATTTTCACATTAGTTTTTTATCTTTATATTTACAGAACTTTTCTACCTCATAATTTTGAAGTTTATGGCTATGATGAAGCAGGAATTATGAAACCTTTAGACGAAGAGGTTCAGGTATGTTGTTTAATTGTGTTTTACCACTATGAAGTGAGTGTTTTGATATATTATTTAGGGCTCACTGTTCTGGAGCAGAAGGACCGAGGTTATGTCTTGTTTCGACTTGAACATCATCATTTCCTTTTGATACTTTGTTCTCAGCCCTGTTTATGGCTAACAAACCAAATATGACAATGATCTTTCTAGATTACTTATTTCAGGATGGTGTACGTGAATGTGCAGTAGTCTGTGTGGCAGTAGTTTTTGAATGAGGTGTAAAATACTTGAAAGTCAAAATGATAATCCATATCGGGGAAACCTAATATGGAAAGAAAAGGACAATCTAAAGTGTCATCTGTAACAGCTGCCCTTGGGGGCCTCCCTCCTTTCCCGGACACTGCCCTCAGTTTCCTGCAATTCTGAAACCCTAGCCTCCATCCTTAAGCTGAGGGCTGTGTTTCCTGGGGGACCTTGGCTGCCATCCCTGCTGCCCTGCCCCGGGTAGTCCGTGCCCCAGGAAGTCCCTGCCACCCAAGCCCCAGGAAGTGAGCATCTCAGCAAAGCCAGGGCCTTCTCTCTGCGCTGGTTTGCATCCTCCGTTTCCTTCTCTGCCTGACTTTGTCGTTGAAGTTCCAAAACTTGTCCAGCATTTTTAATTGTGGGAGGGTTAAATCTGTACAAGTTACTCCACCATGACACTCAAATTAGTTTAGAAAAATAAATTATTTCTCATTTGGATTCATTTTGTTTCTCTCACCATACACAATTAAGTCAGAAGAACATGAAACAATGAGTTTTTGATCATTTTTGCCTTCATCTAGTGATCGGGAAAGTCATATCTAATTTATACCACGTGAAAAACTATGAAAATACCCTCATTCTTTATGAATCTGAGGGGATAATTTGGGAAAATTGAGCCATGTGTTCATCTACTAATTTTATAAATTGATTATTGAAATGGAGTACTTGATGAACACACGACATACGTTTTAAATACCTGAAAGTATATCTGTAGCATGAACTCATACATGTTATATGTGTTTCATCTTTATCTTGCAGAATTTTTGCTACTACCGAGGAGATATTGAAGGCTATGCAAACTCTTTGGTGATCATTACCACGTGTACTGGACTCAGGTTGTCATATATGATTGTGTGGATTATGAAATACATTAGATTATTTTTCGTGGTGGCTCCTACCCTTACAGTAAATCACTTGTGTCTTTGGAGACCATGAGATGTTAATATAACCTTGGCAGACACTGAGCACATTGCAATTCTGCGTCCCTCATTGAGTTTGACAATACGAAGTAGCTTTCCCTATGTGACCTTCCAAGACTGAGGCTAATAATACTGTGCACACCATTGAAAGGATCAAAATGTAGAATCAATAATGTGAAATAGAAAGAAAAGGTCTAAAAGGGCTGGGGAAGTGGGAGGGGTAGGGAAAGGAAAGAAGGGAAGGGAAACAATATGAGAAGAAAATGGAAACAGTCTCTGTAAATAGAAATGGAAGGGTAGAAGGGAGGGCAGGGAAATGGGGGAAAAATAAGAATCAAGATACATCATGTAAAGGTGCAAGATCCCATGTAAATGTATCGTATGCCTAAAATGTACCAATAAACTTAATGGGGGAAAATGCACACCATTGGAAACTAAGTGATATTTGATTCCTTTGTCAAATGCATTAACTCATTTATATACCTTCTTTTTGGAATTTGTAGGGGCTTACTGCAGTTTGAAAATGTTAGTTATGCGATTGAACCCCTGGAGTCTTCTGTTGGTTTTGAACATGTGCTTTATCAAGTAAAACAGGAAAATAAAGATGTCTCTCTCTACGCTTCGAAAAATACCAGTTTTAATATGACCTATAAAATAAAAAGTGTAAAGGTAAGTATAGTAAAGTGCAAGATTATCGTTTTACAGCAACATTACTACAGCAGGATACTCTAGCTTTCTGGCAAACAAGTTAGTTATTTACACCTTCACACAGAGAGACTTCTATCTAGATATATGTACCAGAATTAATTAATTAGTTTGCCTGATAACTAGTTTTGTAAGGTTCCCCACAGTGCTTTAAATTTCTGTATTATTGGTAGTGATTTCTCTCATTTCTGATTTTATTAATTTAAATATTTGCAATTTTTTGTGGACAGAGTAACAGTATTTCCATTAAAGTGTGGCTTTTTCCAATAGCATGTTGTGGCCATTTTTTTAACCATAAATCAGATCTGACCATTTTTCTCTAAAGAAAAAAATTATATTAATATTCACATACAATGTGTATTAAACCTACCCCATTGCATTTTTGTTTTATGTGACCCTTATCCCTTTATTTTCTCTTCAACTCATTAATATTGAAATATTTTAATTATGCAATTTTCCACTCTTAAAAACTTTGAATGATATGTAGTTTTATGTATTTTATATTATGCATTGCATATGTATATTATGAAATATAGAATATATTTTTGTGATATAATAGTGTTTAATGTTGTTATTGACAAACTATGGCTCTTGGGCCAAATCTTGTCTGCAACCTTCTTATTGTACAAAGGTCTGTTGAAACACATCAATTAATACTATTTTATATATGTGTGTTAATATAGTTTTTGTGTCCTTCATACTTTTATAGTCAAATAGTTGTGGCAGAGGCCTACAAAGAGACTTCTTGTCTCTTCACCCTTTTTCCCCATCTTCCTATTCAGAAGATTTTGTGTAAATTATATTTACACAAATTCATTTACGTATGTAGATTTAATCCAGTTGTACTATGTTTCTCTACACTTAATACTATAATTCTTCTCTCAATTATTTTCCACCTCACCATCTATAGTTCTACATCTCTGAGACCTATTTAATTTTATTTGCTTGCCTCTTTCTGCCTCTACTAGTCCCAATGGTAAAAACTTGATTCCTAAATTTGGATGTTACTTTCTCTCATTTTGAGTTATATTCTTATGATTTTTTTTATCCTGGGGATTGAAATCATGACCTTGGGCTTGCAAGGTAGGTGTGGTGTCACTGAGCTAAGTCCCCTGCCCTTGTTCTTATAATTTTAAAGAGAATGACACCAGAATCTAATTTTGTTAATCATTTTATCCTTTCTAGCATTTTGATTTATCATTCTATGAAAACATTTGACTCCTCCATACTAAAAATACAAATAAACAAAATAAAGTAGTATATCTCAGCTGTATATTTACAATTATCCTTTCCTTCACTTGCTAGCTTCATATTACAAAAAGTGGAGCTCTTTCTTATTTGCAGATATTCAGAAGAATGCGGGTTTTCCAAAAATACTGTAATCAGTGGTGATCCACTGCCAAATCAGCTCTTTGAAATGCTAAAACATTTAATGAGTAAAATATAATTAAAACTTACCAGTATTTTTTACTCACTTTCTACTCTGTAAAACTCTTTTCTGTTTTCACTCTCTTACTTTTCCTTACATATTTGCATATTAAGTACCCTTATTTCTGTTACGTCTCAAATTTAGCTTGTTCATCTGACCACACACTTGTTCCTGGCTTTACATGAGAAGCTTACAGATCTTCCATTCCCACTCCATTAGTATTCTTCTGAGTTACTGCTCTATATCAGTTGCCCAAGTTTTAAAAAAGACACACATACCACACATCATGTATCTATCATCTATCTTGTATCTATCTCTGTTTAACTATCATCCATCTACTATTTATCTACTATCTTCATATTCTTTCCCAACCCCATAATATTCATGTCTGTTGTGACTTGTGTCTAGATTTCTGCCAAAGCCTTATGCAGTCTATAGGAGGATGGCTTTTCAGAGATGAAAGGTGTGTGGTGCTGGGATCAAGGGTGTGTGATTACTAAATCAGTCCACTGATTGGTTGGCATAATTTTGGTGAGGATTAAGAGTGGGAGTGCTACAACCTACTTAAGGCAAGTAGGTTGCATAAAATAGAAGGGACAGAATGAGGACTAATGGGGTCTCCCCTACCTGCTTGCCATGGACTGTTTCTCCTCTGCGACGCCACCCTGCCTTGGAGCCAGGTGACTATGGACCGAAACCACTACAAACTGTGAGCCAAATAAACCTTTCCTCCTTTAACTTTGGCTGTCAGGTGTTTTGTCTCAACAAAGGGAAAAATAGCTAAGGGAGAAATAATGACCTTTTGTCTTCTACATCCACCATTAATCCATCTAAATTACAACTGTATCAGCACAGTAGCATGATCTCTAGTCTGTTTCCCTATAACCAGCTCTTCAGTATTTATTTTGACCAAGGAAATTATCATTGTTCAGGTGGAATCATAGTTTATATATCACATATGTAAACATTCTCAGGTCTTCTGTGAGTGCTTGCTTTGGCAGCTCATACAGTTATGTCTTCCATGACTACGTTCTCTAACTAAAGGAACTGGCTTTTGAAGTCTTGATATCTGGCACCTGCCCAACTTCCAACAGATACATTTGCTGGCCTTCTCTTATGCTCTTAATTAAGTTTTTATTTACTTAGCTAAAGTGAACTTCTTATTTTTCCCCAAATATGTTTTTCAGTAAATAAAGAAATGAGATTAAACTAAATATTACTAACCTCTATCTCAAACCTTAAAATGGACAAATTTTTGTTCAGGGAATGTTAAATTTTTAAAAAATACTCTAATTTAGGGATTGTGGTGAAATGATGGACTCTTACAAGAAAAGGATTTTAACTTTACTGTTGAAGGTGTGAAGCATTTGTTGGTTAGTGTTTCATGGAAACGGGAAAAAGACCATTAGACCATAAAAGGATTTCATTTGGTCTTCAAAAATAAAACTACATTTCTAAGATTTGGGTCAGGAGAGGTAATTTAAAGGCAGGTAGAATGAGTAATCAATAAGCTCTAAACTTATCCTATTGACTTTTTTCAACTTTTCCCCCCAGAAGTAATTATAAGAATCACTTCTCTGATCTTTACTCAAACTTCAGAATTGTTGCTTCCCCTTTAACACGACTTTTCATTTTATAATGAAAACATTTTAAATAATAGGAGAACACTTTGAACTTGCAGTAGATTACACACCAGTGTAAAATAAGAAGAGCTACAATTAAAGTACATATAGTAAATGTTTTCTTAATTTTGAATTCTTTTTAGCCATCAGCAGAATTCTATCAGTACATAGAAATGCATCTTATAATTGAAAAAGATTTGGTAAGTAATTCTGATTTATTTGTTTTATGTCAATTTTATCAAAGAAATGAGGAATTTTAAAAATAATTTGAAATGAATATATGACAGGAGAATTAATGATAACTTTGTACTAGCTATGGTTTAATATATTTTAAATTATTTATATCAGTAAGCAATTAGGAATCACTTTTCTTTAAAAAATTTTTCATAATTATATATTTTATAGTGAAAATAAAAATAAATGACAGTTTAATCGCAGTTCACAGATAGTTTTAGAATCATAGAAACTTCTTGTATGTACAGTTAACATTGAAAAAATTTTAAATAATTCTTAATTTTTTATGTTATTGAAGAGGAAATAAGAATGTCTCATTCATAAAATCATTCATTAGACAGAAAAGCAATGGTTTGCACAACAGACAGAAGAGAGTATTATTGTTCTAGGTATTTCTTGCAATATTTTGTCATGAAATGGAACTATGGTTGCTTGAAATTTAGAATTACTGAAATAATTTCAATGTTTTTTCCATCATTCTCAATTTTGTGAGCAACTTCCCATTACTCATTAAAAACTTATCATGATTTCTTAATATAGTTTGGAAATTCCCCCAAGTAATTGCCTTCTGCCTGTGTCAGTAGTGAATCAGCCATCAATATGAGTGCATTTCTCTGGACTCCAGATTCTGTTCCACTGATCAGTGTCTGTCACTGCATCCATCCGAGTGACATGGAAACTACAGAATTTACAGTAATCTTTCAAATCAGGAAGTCCAAGTCTTTACACATATGTGAATTGGGTTGTCTTTGTATTGTTTAGTTGCAAGTTGTGTTCATGTAATCTGAAAACTAGACCCTAATCACACACATGATTTGCAAATCTTTAAGCTTCTCAGAAGTTTGTCTTTTTATTTTCCTGATGATGTTAGTTGAAGCATAAAGTTTTCAAATGTAAAAAGAAAAAATCTCCATTTCATCTTAGTGGTGTCTCCTTCAAATATCATTTGACCATAAGTGCTGTGCTTTATTTACTCTTGGACCCTCAGTTCTGTGCCATTTGTTTAGGTCTCATCTGAGGTCAGGAGCACACTGACTTCATTGCTGTAGCTTTGTAGTTATTTTTGAAATTGGGGCCTATACTGCAAGTCCTTCAATTTTCTTCTTTATTTAAATTCTCTTTGGACATTCTGTATCACGTCAAATTTCAAATAATTTTAGGATCAACTTCCCAATTCCCCCAAAAATGAGAGCTGGAATTTTAATAGGTATTGCCTTGAATATATGGATCAATGTGGAAATCTTTGTCATCTTAACATCAAGTTCTGCAATGATGAACAGGATGACTCTCCACTTTCTTTCCTCTCTTCTACAATGTTTTAGATTTCAGTGTTTGCTGGGTGTGGTGGCACACCCCTGTAATACCAGCACTCGGGAGGCTGAGGCAGGAGGATCACTGTGTGTTCAAGACCAGCCTGGGCTACATAGTGAGTTCCAGGTCAGTCTCAACTACATAGTGAGACCCTGTCTCAAAAAAAAAAAAAAATTAGATTTCAATGTTTGTCTTATACTTCTTTCTTAAACTTATTTTCCACTATTTTAATATTTCTGATGCTATTATTTCCTTAATGTAATTGTACAATTATTTATTGCTGGTGTATGGAATACAAGTTTTTTTGTGGGGGGGATCAAACTCGGGACCTTGCACTTGTGAGGCAGGTGGTGAAATAGAAGTATTTGTATATTCCCCTATACCTTGCAATCTTGTGGAAATCATTTATTCATTCTGATAACTTTTATTGATTTTTAAAAATTAATTTTATTGGTACATTTAAGGTATACAGTATAATGATGTACATCATTGGAAATTTACACCTTTACATAATTCATCTTGGTTCTTACTTTTTCCCCGATTCCTCTGCCCTCCCTTTAACACCTCCAACCCTAGCAACACAATTCACGATAGCTCAAACTTGGAAGCAGCCCAACTGTCCATCAACAGGAGACTGGATAAAGAAAATGTGTGTTGGGGTTTTTTTTTAATGTAAAATGAAGTACTACTCAGCCATAAAGAATGAGAAACTAGAGACATTTATAGCTAAATGGATTCACATTGAGGCAATACTTTTAGTGGATTTCTTAAGGTTTTTGAGATATAAATCTCTTGTGAACAGAGTTTAACATCTTACTTTCCTAAATGAATACATATTACTTCTTCACTTGAGTAAACATCTTGGCTAGAATGTCTGGTAACAGATAGAGTTGACACAATGTGATCAGACATCCTTGCTGTTCTACTTCTGAAGGAAATAACATTCATGCTTTCTCCAAGAATGACGATTTTTTTCATAGGTCCTCGTCATTGGGGTGAAGAAATTCTCCCGATCCTTAGTTTATTGTGGGCTTTTGTCATGAATGGGTGTGGTGTTTCATTTCATGGATGTGGCTTTGTGGTGATTGGCAGGATTATGTGTTTTTGATCCTTTATTCTATAATATGTTGTACCTCTATAGATGGTTTTCAGATGCCAAACCAACCTGGAATTGCTGGAATAAGTCCCACTCGGTTGGGGTTTATAATCCTTTTCTGTGGTTCCATAATTTGGATTGTTGACATCCTGTTTATGATTTTTGCATTTATATTCATGAAATGTTACTTTGGAGTTTTGTTTTCTTATGATGTCTTTTCTGACCTCACTGAGTGATTTAGAAAGTGTTTCTTGCTATTTTCTAGAAGAATTTGGGAAGAACTCATGTTAGTATTTCATTAAATGGTAAAACTACTTGAGTCATCTGGAACTGGCCATTTCTTTTTTAAAAACTTTTAAAATAGTCTTTTCAACGTTTTTATTTGTTGCATCGCAATGTTTTCTTGAGTCGGTTTTAAAAATTTGTCTTTTCAGTAGTCATGCATCGCATCTCAGTTACCTGGAGTTTTGCGATGTAGTCAATGTCACACATTTCTCTAACATCAGTAGTGGAAGAACTTCCATTAATACCTTTTATCTTCTCTCTTTTGTTCTTATTCGTGTGGCTAAAGCTATTTTCTCTTTTGAAAAGAATTAACCTTGTTAATTATCTGTGTTGTTTTTCTGTCTTATTTCAACCATTTTTGCTCTTACCTTTATTATTTTTCTCCTTTTGTTTCTTTGGCTTAGTTTCACCTCCTCACAGTAAGTCCCTAACATGGCAGGTCACTCAGAGGCTTCTCTCTGAAATGCTGCTGCTTCCCGCTGGGCATTGCTCTAGTTGAATGACTGTACTTTGTTAAGCTATATGTTAATTCATAAAGTATTTCCTGGGTCCTCCTTTTATCATTGATTATTTAAATTTGCGTTCACACATCTGAATGTCTTAAATTTCTCATTTTTTATTTTAATTGAATCCTACTGTGTCCGGAGAACGTATTTTGTAGTTCAAAACTTATATTAACTGTAAAGAAGCTTATCCAATGGCTCACCACCTGCTCTGTTTCTGAATATGGCCCTTGGGCAGTTGAGTAGAATGCATACAATGTCGCAAGGTTTTATAGCAATCTATTGTCGTGGTTTTGTTTTAGTCTTGAATGTTTGTGTTGATATTTTTCCAAATTTTTCTGCTTTTGAAAGTTTTATAGTTAAAGTGGGTAGTGTTGGATTTTCCATTTCTCTTTTCAGTTCGGCCACTTTTCCTCTTGTATCATTTTCTGGGTGTATTCTTAGATGTGCATGTAATTAGAATTTTATACCTTCCCTATGGTAACACCAAGCTGTTTTATTATTGTTGCTTCCTGGTATACGTTTTCAACCTTCTTACATTCAAGGAGGTTTTGTGTTTGCAAATGTACTGTGTCTCCTGTGACCAGTTAGTGCTTTTGGTATGTTTATTTGATGGAACCCACTTGTAATTATTTAAATATGCAATTATTTGTATTTTTAATGATGTCTGAACTCTTCTATGTGTTCTAGTTTTCAGAACTATTTTGGTCCTCCTTTATTACTTCCTTTTGTCATAAGTTGAAATTTTTTAGATTTTTATTTTTAATTTCTAATTTTTGGAGATAATTATTCATATTTAGCTGCAAGATTATATAGATATCCTGCCTAACTTTTAAGCAGCATACTCTACAGCACAGTATTACACCCAGGATTTTATAATTGATATAGTGAAGATATAAAATAAACTTATTGTGTTTTTTTTTAAGGCCAATCCATTACTCTCTCATCCTTCTTCCCTTAACTTTTAAGCAAAGGGTATGTGAATGGAGTCATCGAACATGTAACATTTTTGGAATTTTGCTCACACCTCTTCTGGAAGTTTTTTCAGCCTTAACTACTTCTTAAAAAAATTTTAAGTCATTCTATCTTTTGTAGCTTTTAGAGACATCAATGAATCCCATCCAAATATTTTAGGGTTTTCAAGGTGAACCATATTACTCTACTAGTTCATGGCTCATTTTTTAATTTCATTTCGTTTTTAGAGTCTTCCTTTGTAGTTTAAGCTGGCCTTGAACCCACCATGTAGCTCAGGCTGGCATCAAACTCAAGGGGTACCTCCTGCCTCAGCCTCCCCAGTAGTGGGATTACAGGCGTGCGCCACCATACCTGCCAAGGTTTATGATTCACATTTCATAGATCTGCTTAGTTATTTGCCAGTCATCTATTTCTTTAGTTTTAAAATTTTGTCTTTGTCTTTTCTCATTTTCTTTTCTTTGTAGCTTTTGTTCTTCTGAGTTGTTTTTTTTTTTTTGTAGCAGGGATTGAACTTGAGTCCTTGCGCTTGCAAGGCAGGCCACCAAACTACTGAGCTAAATCCCCAGCCCTGTTTTTCTGAGTTTTTAATCTTCTATTAATATTTTCCTAATTATTTAAGAGAAGTTTCAGTCACACATAACTTTGAATAGATGCAACCTGACCACCACCTTACTGTTTTAGATTTTTTTCTCCCCTTTGCAAAAAAAGGTATTTTCATTTAAATCTTATAATTTAAAGCTAAAGCTTTCTGCCAGCTGTTTTTACCATTCTTTTTCTCTTTTTTCATACTGGAAATTGAACTCAGGGCCTCACACTTGCCAAGCAGGCACTGTGCCGCTAACCTACATTCCCAGCCCTTATCATTCATTTTTTATAATAGAATTATACGTTTCTGTAGTTTCTTTTTATTTTTGATACATTCCATTTTTCATAGTAAATACATATTATATTGTTCATAACGCAGTGTTGGTAAATCTATTGTGTTGATAATTTAAATAATTTTAAACTTCCTTGTATTTAAAGTTAAAGAGAATTATCACACCTTAAGTGTGATGAAATTTGTATGTACCTCTAAAAGGTATTTTGTATTTTTCAGTATAAGTATATGGGTTCTGATACAGCTGTTGTCACTCAGAAAATTTTCCAGATGGTTGGACTGATGAACGCTGTAAGTGTTTGCTTCTCAAATGACTTTTACACTTGCTCGTGTTACTAAAACAACTCCTGTAACTTCTTTTAGGACACATCCTGAATAGCCATGTTTTCTGATATGGAGAGAGAGCTACATAATACTTGCTTATGTGTAAAGTAGGAGCAATGGTAATTGTATATAGCTAGCTAGATTTTTTTCTTTTTTTTCTTTTCTTATTTTTTAAAGGAAAGGAATGAAAAGATGAATAGAAGGGAGAGGGACAAAAAGGAAAGTGTGTCAAAACGGCAGTGAGATGTGCTATGGAGATGTACTGACTTCCCATGAGAAATGTAGACATTGGGTCCTACATGCATGTACTAATAAAGTAACGTATGAATAGAAGGGAGAGGGACAAAAAGGAAAGTGTGTCAAAACGGCAGTGAGATGTGCTATGGACATGTACTGACTCCCATGAGAAATGTAGACATTGGGTCCTACATGCATGTACTAATAAAGTAACATCATTTACAAAATGAAAATAAAAAAATATTTGTTGGGCAGTACTGGAGGTTGGAAACTGAATGCAGAACTACAACCCCAGTCCCGTCGCCCTTTTTTGAAAGGGCCTTGTTGAGTCTCTGAATTTCTCAGACTGGCTTTTTACTTCCAGTCCTCCTGCCTTAGCCTCGCAGGGTGCTGGTATCAGAGGTGTACACTACCATATCTGGTCCTACTTAGGTTGTTGTAAGAATTAAATTAAATAATCACTTGCTGTGGGGCTGGCTTAAGTGCAAGCATTTCAAGGTGTTAAATTTTACTTGTATTGTTAGTATCATTTACTCTACCTATTAGTATAAAGAAAGATCTGGGCCAGGCTTACAGTTTAGTTGTTTAAAGTGTATCTTCATAGATATATTAGTAAAACCATTTAGACCATGCTGTTTGAACATGTTTTCTGTTTGTGTCCTGTTTTAGTTTTTCAGTTCCTTTAATCTTACAGTAATTCTGGCCTCACTGGAACTTTGGACAGATGAGAACAAAATTCCAACCACTGGAGATGTCAATGAGTTATTACACAAATTTCAAGATTGGAAAAAATCTTACCTCATTTTACGTCCACATGACACTGCATTTTTACTTGTGTAAGCATATTTTGGAATTACTAAGGTTTCCACAAAGAAAACACATCAGTGTGACCCAATTTCTCACAGTCGATGGGCCTTGAGATAAAGGCTATTTGCCATTTTTCCTCCCATCCACTACCCTGTGAATACTGTTTGCCACTGCACTGTTCATCTCTATGGCACAGTTACTGACATCCCTCACTTTATCTGGTGGTCTATCGTGAAAGCTCACTTTTTCAGTTTGGGACCCATGCCACCTGATTCTCTTCAGTAAATGTCCCTTGATGTGCACCAGATATCAACAGTAAGCCAGTATCTGAACTCTGTGAATATAGCCTCCTGCTTTACTCTGCTGTCCAAAAAGTAGAAAAAAATGACAAAGAAATAGAAACACTGTCGTACATTTCAATATAACATGACCACGACGTGGTGAGGCTCTCAGTGGGTGAGCCTGGCCTTCTGTTTAGTAAGCTCTTTGTTTTCCCCTTATCAATATTCCAATTATTATACATAAAAATACTAAAGTTTTAGTATTTTTGTCTCATGCACGCAGATGCTACATGTCTCCATGGCTCTGGTGGCCTGATGCTAGCCAAGCAGAGACTTTGGTTCCTAGAGGACTCTGCCAATTTGTCAGCTGCTTTGCCTTATTTAGCAGGATTTACTCCTTTTAATCTAAAAAGACACAGCATAATGTGACTCATCATTGGTCCAAGAGGCCATATGAAAAGGCACTTTGTGTTTGTGTTCTAAATCCATTTCATTATTTTCAGAAGCTGCAGAAACGTGCGATAGTCACATCCCAAGTCGTGTTCACGCTGATGCTAGGTGGACATATTGATGAGTTTCATATCAATGCACAACATTAAAATTTATCCTATGAAAACTGGGAATTGGTTGGGCTCACTTTTGCGGAAGTATATGCTTCTGACCCACTGTACGCTTGCAGTTACAGAGAAGCACCCAGTCACATCGGGGCCGTCTTTCAAGGAATGGTGTGTGACAAGGACTACGGGGGAGGCATTGCCCTGGTACGGTACGGTTCCTTGTGGTTGGCTAAGCCGCGTAGAGGATGGAGTGCTGCATAGAAGGCTAGAAAATTTAAGAGTTCCTCCTCTTCTTGCTTCTGTGTACAGCACCTTGGCTTTGTTCTGAGGCTTCTTGTCCCTCGTGCTGACAAAACGTCTAACCTAGGAGGAGTCCCCATCGATCATCTACATATAAAAATTTACACGAGTCCAAGTATCCTGTTTTAGCACTTGTTAAGGCGGTGATGTGTGTTAGTATTATTACGTGATGCTGGCCATTTTCATAGCCTTAGTATGGAATCGTGTATGTATTTTCATGCAAAGCCTAGATTTTGTGCATTTGCTTAATTATTTAGCTAAATTACAGAACGGATGAAAACATTTGAAACTATTTGTCAGTCACCTCACAAATGCTTCACAGGGCATCATGAACAGCAAGGGCACTGAAGGCCGGAGTTGATATATAATTTCCCATAGTGGAAAATCTTAGTGTACTCGACACTGCTATGTTTTTCCCCCCACTATTTCATGATGGTGGGGTTATTCTGGAAAAGAGAAAACTTGCCTTTTTGTTACTTTTTGTGTATTTGTACCCTGTCTGCTGGTTTCAGACAGGTGATGCCTAGTACTCTTGTTGTAGCAAACAAGTTAAAATGAGGCCAGGTGAAGATATAAAGGATGAATCAATGAAATGGAGACTAAAATCTTTACAATTCCTAAGTCATGGTTTGGCAAAGCTGGCTTTTATTTAGGCCCACGAGCTTTACCTGGGCTCCAATGCTGGACGGAACTCCGGAGATGCTAAAACATCAGAGAGAGGCCTTTCCTGACTGTCTGGGCACAGGGGAGCCATCCTGTCCCGAGGAAGGCTGGCTGCCACCAAGGGCCGCCCCACAGGACCTGGGACGTGTGTGGCTCCTGGGCAGAGGACAGAGGTCTCTCTACTGAGGAGAACAACTGGAGAACAGCTTTTCAGCATCCTTTCCCATTCCCGCTTTCCTGGGAAAATCACCACATGATCTTCACTGGAGACCTAAGCAGCAGCCTGTGGCCACGAGAGTGAGCCGTTGAAGACAGTAGCTGGAGCTCTGCCTTCTGATGACCAAACGCCCGCGATGCTCGCTCTCTTCCTGATCCTCCAGGACCATGGGATGGCACCAGGGATCGTGTTCTCCGTGGTCTGTTTCCCCCTGAAAGCGTGTACCTGGAACCACAACCCAAGTACTGGTTTTGGTTAAGTAAAAGCAAGTGAGAATAATTAGCTTATGATTATTTTTTTCAGTGCCGAGGGTTGAACCAAGGCCTTCTCAGTGAGCTTCACTCCCAGGCCTTTATTTCCTTATTTATTCATTTTTAAATTTTATTTTGGGACAAGGTCTCAATAAGTTTCTATCTTGTGAGGATGGGGTCACACTTGCAATCTCCCTGCTTCTCCCTCCCAGAGTGCTGTTGTTACAGGTTTCTACAACCAGGCCAGGCACCTTAAGAGCTTTTCTTTGAATTAAAAACATTTAATTCACAATTCAAGGTACATGTCTCTACAATAAAAAAATTTTTTTGAGACAGGGACTCACTATGTTTTGGAGACTGATCTGGAACTCACTAGGTAGCCCAAGCTGGTCTCGAACTCAACAGTGATCCTCCTGCCTCAGCCTCCCAAGTGCTGGGATTACAGGCGTGCTCCACCACGCCTGGCTTCTACAATAAAAGTAATGAACGCATTCACCACCGCTCATAGTTACCATTAACGCATGAGGTGGGGGTGAAGACATGTGAAATCTACTCTTTGAAGTGTGAAATTCAAGGAAACGATACAGTATTGTTTGTATTGCTGGATTCCTCCCAGAATCTCAACAGCCTCCCTCATACTGCAACATTTGAAGAGTGAAATGAGAAGCAAACACAGCCTGATGGAAACATGACACACACGAGTCTCTGTATTTGACTTTAAAGGGTTTCTTTGTCTGTGCAAACAGTGGCAACAACGCTCTGGTTGTATGCATTAAGCAAGTTACCAGGGCAGACTTCTCAGTGGTCTCTCATCACCAGAGGGCTCATCCGTCTCCATTTGGGTACAGCTGCAGATTTCACTGTACATTTTTGCGTACTTGTAATGACACTTGTATCGAGTCAGGCCGATGTGGATGGCACTTTTGTGGCTCCCACATCCGCTCCTCTGTTCCATATTAATAAGTGACAGTGCTTGATGATTGCATCATTCTGCCAACAGACGAAATGTAAGCACGTGTGTTCGTGTTGAGCCATAGTTTGCTGGCCCAGGCTGGTGGTGCCAGTGGTAGAGCACCTGAGTATTGTGGATGAGGCCCTGGGTTGGATGCCAAGTACTGCAAAAGCAAAAGCAAAATGATCAAACAATTGTGGTTTGTTTTTCAGCACCCCAGAAGCATGAGTCTGGACTCATTTGCAGTTATTTTAGTTCAGTTACTGAGCCTGAGCATGGGAGTCCCTTACGATGATCCTAACCAATGCCACTGCCCGGGAGCTGTCTGCATCATGAACCCAGAAGCAATGTAAGAGGCTTGGCTTTTCTGCCTGATAGAGTATTTATGTGAAGGTGACTTGGTGCACTGAGTTTCAGGAAACTTAAGCTGTGCTTTACATGTAATATAGTCTCACAGCCCTGTGACATCAGTGGTCCCTTTGTCATCATACTGCAAGGAGAACACTGAACTATAATATAAAATACCTTTTCCAAGACACACAGCCTAGAAGTGGCCGAGGCTAGACTGTAACTTGTGTTGTCTGACTGGCTGCAGATTACATGTTGTAAAACACACTTATCCTTGGGGAGGGTCAGGTTCTGGGCAGCAGACATCAGGAGTTTAGGCATTTTAAATTTAAACTGCCTTTGAAATGGGCTGAAGAAGAAACATGAATTGTGGAGTTTGGTGTCAAATTTGAGTTAGAGGAACGAATAGAGTTGAGCAGTCGGGTATGTTCTTTTAAGTCTGTGGAATTGGTTAAAATTACATAGGACCACATATAGCCAGAATACAAAGCCACTCTAACATTTGAAAGTCGTAAGAAGGAAAAGAAGAAACTAAGAAAAATGGAGGAATTGGTAAGGTTGAAGCAGTGTCATCAGTGTAACATAGGAGCCAATAAAATTTTATCGATCTGTTCCTCAAAGAATTTAAAAATTTAGCTGGGTGTGGTGGTGCACTCCTGTAATCCCAGCAGTTGGGAGGCTGAGGCAGGAGGATCACTGTGAGTTGTGACTGGACTGGGCTACATAGTGAGTTCCTGGTCAGTCTCAACTGCATAGTGAGACCCTGTCTCAAAAAAAAAAAAAAAAAAAAAAAAATTTAAAAATTAAAA